CATGGTTTCCTAGATTTGCTTTATTTCATTTTCACCTCTACCTACTGTTACAGCAATGCTACAATTACAGACATAAACCCACTTTGGTGATCGGGTGATTGTTCTTCCTTAATTATGAACTTATTCATACTCAGTTAGATTGATTTTCAAGACTAAAGAGAATGAATTAAAAATCCTATACTTGTATGTGTTTTCTGCCAAGCCCTTATAAATATTCAAAAAACATTAACTTCTGTAATACTTTAGACGAATGCTACAACATAAATACAGTCTGATTAAAATCGAACCTTCCACTGGTTCCTTTATTTTGATTTTTGTGACCATCAAAATAAGGGAGCTAGTGGAAGGTTTGATTTTAATTAGACTGAATCAAATGTGGATTCAAAAACATTCAAAAGAACTTTTAGAAAATCACAATTTCTCCCAAAGAATCAATGACATCAATTACAATCTATGACTTTTAAACACTTACACATTCAATCTTTACGATAACGACACCATAGACGTTCTTCATTAAAATTGGAACTCCGAGATTTTCATATTTTGTTGGTGGTCCTCTAAAAATACTTTGTTATAAATCATTCTAATTCTACACACACTAGTACTCCGAATTTTATATGAAAACTGACTATGGAGTTTCTCAATTGACAGATCTAGCATTATTTGAGTTCCCAGTTTTTAAACTTGGGCAGGCTACTAGCAAATAAGTTGATGTTACACGGATTTCAACGATTTCCTTAAAAGTCAGAAAATTACAATTCCTATGGTTGTTATAATGACCTTGTTTGCAAATACAATCAATCGTTTATTTCAATTGAGATATCAATTGTAAGGCTATTGTTTATTTGCTTATTTTGATTATAGAATACTCCTATTAATTGATCAATGCAGAGGTCTCAAAGTGGGTGTGTCTGGTCGATAGTAGATGTTTATTTCTCCTACGATCATGATCCCACCTATGATCTTTCCAGGACTCTTCCTGTCACGACTTATATTGTTCATACGATTTATGAGATTGATCACGGTATGTTATCTTCGCTTTTTTCATTACTTTGGATAACATCCTACTTGTAAATGCAAAGCCTATTTTAGCACTAACTTAAATATGCGGTGATGTCAAGAATTTTACTAATGGCAAATCATCTCTTATTGGAGGGGGGGGGGGGGTAATTTCTTAAAAGTTTTTTTTAAAATGATGAAAAATTAATCACAACATCTCTGATAAGTTTCAATCTTAAGATTAGTGATTTGTAAATGAATTTTTTTTTTAAATGGCTATCAAAAACGTTTTTACTCTCAGTATAACTTTTTTTTTCAAATAACAGCCTTTTACATTTTGTTATTTCTTACAAAAATTTCTATCTTTGGATTGATTATTTCTTTAAAGCAACAAATCCCTGAATTAATTCGTATCCTTTTATTCGTTGCAACAATTCTTAAGTTTGTCTCTTATGGTGCATCTTTTTGAAATTACTTATTGATATATTAAGCATTCTGTGCAAATGGACAGATTGACTGAATGTTGTCTGTTGTCAAAGGGAATACCTTGGACCCTCGACTTCATATATACGCATGCCTACTGAAGTCAAGTGTAGTTATCTTTCTTTGCCATATTTTTAACTATTTTTATCAATTCTGATACAATATTTACAGATTTGAAATAAATTGCGCATTCACATTTTTAAATGACCAATTTGCAAATCTGATTGATCTAGCAAGACTTGCTTTCTCAAACAAAAAAAGGGAAAAAAAGGAAAGAAAAACGGATTTAGTGTGTTTAGATACATGTACCAAGTTATACTAACTGTATGAGGAGTAGCATTTAAAAAATGTAAATAAACACACAGAAGGTCATTGAAATTTGTATCATAGCTATCAAGATTTATAGACATTAACTTTGAAATAGAGGCAAAGGAAGTATTAATACGACCCAATATAACCCAGGTTAAAGTTTGCAAAAAACTAGAGAGGAAGCCATCCCCTCTTTGCAACTCTCAAAGGATTTGTATCTGATACTCGATACGATTTTTTTCTGTGTCGGCCATCGTATTTCTAGTTCTACTGGTCGAAGTGCAGAAAAGTTTATGTAATGGGAAGGTACCGGTGTCCCTCTGACTTTAAAAGTCACCACAGAGTCTGCCACATTTCTGTTTCATATTTGGATGTTTTACTGACTATGGACGATAAGGGCCAACTATCCAAGTATCCAAAATATGGCCAGATATGTCAGTCTTTGTAATGCTTTTGTTTTCAAGATCCGCGTGATAAATCAAATAAACATGAAATAATAAAATATTGTAATTTACAAAAGATTGAATTTTCTGAATGTCGATTTGAAGGCCAAAGGAAGATAATTCTTTTATGTAAAGGGTTTTTGAATAAATTATTCTACATGAGAATACAGAAAATCAGGTTAGCTAACGAAAGGGCATAATTAAACGCATCAATGGTACTCCCGATATATTGCTGGAAACCTGGACTCCAAAGCCTTTGTATACATTAATATTGATTATCAGATATTAAAAAATCTTCCATACATCTACATTGTGTATCAGAATGGATTGAACAAGATCGTTTTCTGTATGACTAATCAAAAGATATGCATATTCCCGGGGTTTTTTTTTTATTGAAAAAGGAATTAGATATAATAAGAAATATTTTTATTTTTATTTTTCTTGGGGAAATAAGAATAGTAAATGCGTATGTTTTGATTTTGGTGATTTGGGAAAAATTTTGATTTTAATTATCATTAAAGATCTGAGTTTTGGGGTATTCGCATTTTGTACGTACGAAAACTTCTAAAACGAGGCAAGTTATTGACAAATAAGAAGATGAAGATACAAGGATATCAGCATTGCAAATTCCACTGTCGATATAATGACCTTCTTAGCAAATATAATCTATTGTTAAGTCGAATGTTGACTGACGTTTTTCATACTAATTGGTAGACAATTACCTGGTATTTTAACACTGAATTGTCTACGGATTTTTACGTTTATCTGGTCATGACAAGGAGCACATGTAGATGTGACTATCGACAGGGGGATGCTTACTCCTCCATGTCACCTGATCCCACCTCTGATGGTTTTAGAGGTCCGTGCTTGCTCTGCTTATAATTTGTGTTGTTTCAGTTGATTTTTGAGCGTGATTGTTATTTGTTATCCTTACATTTCATCCAATTCTTGAAAATGGTGTAGAATAGTATCTCTGAAATTCATATTTGCTGCCACTCAGATTTTCAAAAGGCTTATAAAAACAATCGCTGGATTCCGCTCTATATCATTGTTTGCAAGGATTGTTTTCGTCACTGAGCAATGGAGAATATTTTTGGAAGATATAAGGCAAAGACTTTTATTATCAATGTTCATAAATTTCATCTTTCACATATGATCAACTTAACTAATTTCTGGTTTCAAAATTATTGGGGCAACTGGGCGTTCATTCAACATTTTTAGAAGAGGACTTGGTACTAATTAAACTCAATTCTATGCAAACAGTTTGTTTGAAGAGATTTTAGGGTAGAAAGTCCTCAGGAAATCGCACACATTTTAATTCCATATTTTGGGCACTTCCAGTGTGTTATCATTTATTCAAATTGTTGTTTCCTTTTAATCAAATTACTACTTCCAAAACCTGGCTATAATTCGCTCATCATTTTCAAAGAAGATGGTTATGTTTCAAATGCTTACAGACGTTGTTGAGGGACAGCCATGGATAAAACTGTCGCCTGAGTGATTCAGATAATACACATGAAAAAATACATTATATAAGTTTTGTCGTAATTTAATTGCATTTTTTTTATATTGAATACAATATATTCAACACATTATATAATAATATTATGCTTTCTTTAACAATAAAATATGTAAAATCCTCAAAAAACATATATTTTTATCCTAATTACAATTGTAATCATATTTGAAATCATACCATGTTCTTTCTTTATATTGAAAAATTAGAATTCTGTATATTTATCATGACTACAACTATGTAATATAAAAATAAAGCTAGTGATTTAGTTATATCTATTAATGGAATTTATTTTATTATTAACTATGTACAACATAACACGATATTTCATTACCGATATATCTAATAAGCACCAGAATGAGTAGCTGCAGAACTGTAGCTCTCTGCTTGAGAAAATTCGGACAGATACAGTAGAGAGCTACAGATCCAAGCGTTGTAAAAACCTTCGATTTACGCCGCCGCTTTTCTGTCGATCACTTTGGGTATTTTTTCTTGTATTTTATGCTTTTCCCCACTTTAAGAATGGTATTTGATAATTTACCATATATTTTACTCCAATTCTTGATACTTTTTTTACCTTTCAACTGTCCCAAACAGCCCTTTATGGTTTTGGAATGTCGGTTTAAAAAATTCCAATTCCAACATCTATGTTTGAGGTCGTGCGAAAAAAAGTCTTTCAAAGAACATACACTTGCCGAGAAAATGTAAATAAAAATTCAGGAAGTTCAAACCTATAACATGTATAAAGAAGACATTATGTATGTAAAAAAAAAAATAGATAGATAAAACTCGGGCGTGTTGGATCTGTAGCTCTCTGCTTTATCTGTCCGAATTTTCTCAAGCAGAGAGCTACTGTTCTGCAGCTACAGAATGAGACGTTCAAGTTTTAAAACAAAAAGAGGCGATAGAAGTTAACGCAGGGTTATCAAAGACATAACCACAGCACTGTGGAACATTCATTCAGTGTAAAAGACGGGACCTTACCGTAAAAAGAGATGACACCGGTAAAAAGAAGAATATGATTTTAAAAAACGTGCTACTTCACAGTTTTCAATAGAATTGATGTTAAACATGGTTCATCTGCTTACACAAAGGTAAAGAGTAGCTTAATGATATTTACAGACTGATGATAAATCTCTCCATTAAATATTTAGCATATAATGCTACCAAGTTTTTTTAAAGTTGAAATACAGGTAAAGGCGTGCAAATGTATAAACTTCTTAAAACTATAATTTGATAAATACAAGAAGTCGTGGTGTCACTGATTTAATGACAAGAATTAAAAATCATATTAACAGTCGCTCATGAAATAATAGGTATCATACATCAATATTCATAACAGAGATGTATGTGATCACATATTGCTTTGAAAAAGATTCTCAGCACACTCCCTTTTAATATTTATAAGTTGTCATATCAACTGCTTTGAACCCTTGCTCTGACATGGTATTGGTAACGTTGTCCTTGTCCGGAGCCTCGTTTCTGACTTTATACAATGGATTTTCCATCCCAGCCTGACCTGGACTGGTTGTCGGTTGGTGAATATCCCCGATAGACGTATACCGGTCATCCACAGGAGCATCATTGTTGACAGAAATATCTGGAACGTTCGGGGAATTGACAAATTTTGCATGACTGAACATGCCGACGTTCCTCCTAAAGGGATATCAAAACCAATATTTAAGCATATTGACAATAATATGTTTCCATGGCATTAATTAATATTTTGTATTATTCTTGAAACTAAAATAACAAGGATCTGACCATGTTACATGTATATGTATTTAAATTGTCCACACATATCTACATAAAAAATACCATATATGAAAAACGAAATTGTTACACTAAAACATGTAATGCATCAAATTAAACAATGGTCATAGGTTGTATATTTTATGACCTTGAGAGACCAATCTTATTATAATCTTGACCTAAATGCAGTGCATTTGGATTGACCTAAAGCAAAAAGTCTAAAATTATTTCTGATGAATTAATCAAAGAACTAACATAACAAACAAGAATTTAAGTAAAACTAAGTAACTTTAAGATTCAACAATATCATTTCTAATGACCAACAATAATCTAAAGGTCATCCTTCCAGGATAGATATACCTTCTGTACATAAAGTAAACGATTCCGACGATAAGAACGAGGAAGACCAGAATGATGATGACAATGACAGCAGCAAATGTCCCCGAACTGACACCAGCTCCAGTGTCCTGAGTTAGCGCGGCAGGTTTTATGTTTGGCGGAAGTTTAGTAGACGTACCTGAGTGTTAGAGATTTGGTTCTTTATTTCTTGTTAATCGTTATAAAGGGCTATATTTTAAACAAGAAATCAGGTTCTTAATTACTTCATAACATATATTCAATTTATATTTCTGATTTATATATACATATATCAAAGTTAGTTGATAGAATGACGTACTTGTCGTGCGTGTAGTAGTTGTAGTAGTTGGTGTTGTTGCTGCAGTGGTGGTGGGTAATGCCTTGCCTATATAGGTATGGAAAAGCAAATGCTATTTTGTATTATTTTTTTGAATCATTAACTCTAGTTTCACTGTTATTGTGTTAATAATTATTAATAGCTTTTTTCTATTCCTGTTAAAATCAGCATTAGTTAATTATACGCTTTACATGCATAAGGGATATAAATTGCAGGCACCTTTGAATATTGACTGAACATTAGTTTTGGTATTATTTTTTAATTAATGATTTATCTTCAACAGACACTGAAAAAGTACTAAATCTTTTGTTTAAAAAACGCTTTTTTAAATAAAAGTAATTTCATATACAAATTTTTTTTAGTAAAATTTTGGTACCAAACATGTTTTTATTTGTTAAAATGAACAAATTTGTAAAAAAAAAAAATAAATAAATAAATAAATAAAAAATAAAAAATAAAAATAAAATAAAAATAAAAAGGGAAAGGAAAGAAAAAGTAAAAAAGAAGTTCAGTTAATTGTTTGGATGTTATACAAGTTGGAAAGTGTAGGATTGTAAACTGAAATGTGCACATGTATTATGAGCGTAATATATCAAAAGCATAGGCATAAATGTAAAATTGTTTTAATCTGAGAAAGCAATTTTTTTTAAAGGCTGCATTGGATACAAAAAGTTAATGTGAGAAGATTTAGCTATTAAGGAAGCACATGTCATATTTTTTCAGCATTAAAATCCTCAGTACATTTATTGTGATCCATTCTTTTCAATTATCTGCTGTAAGTGCCAACGTAAAAACCACAAAATGAAGAAAAATGGAGATATTTTTAAAAGAAGAATTGCACTAGAAATATTATATGAGGGGTTTAATTTTAATAAAACTGAAATTTAAACTAAATCTAAAAGTAAGAAAACATAAAACAGTATACATACAAAGTGTGTTGGGGTCAATTGTTTTTTGTTGCATCCAGTTTAGGTGTTCGTTGCAAGTTAATTTTCCGATTAATGTTTTTTCATATCCAGCAGAACACTCGTAGTCACAAGAAGAGTTCACATATCCACTGCACGTGTTCGCAAGGCGTCCATGTAATACTGCCATTTTACATTTTTGGACTACAAAAATTCCAAATTAAAGCAGAATTAGAGTATTAGAGTTAGAAAGAGAGTATTATTATCAGATAGATTTTCTTCTCTTTTTTATGAATACATCCATTGATGCATAGAACCCATTAGAAAATATTAACGTATTCATCTCTTTTTAATTTACTAGATGAAGATTAACAGTTATTGGTTAATGTGTTATCTTTACACTTTATTAGATATATTATACTTCAAGCTATAAAAAATTAGTATCCTTCCTGGCTTTCATAAAAAAACATAAGTTACGTAGTGAAGTTTAGAATATCTCAATGATTTTAGGATGTTTTTCATCCGATTAGATCATAATTAACCAATCATACCTCCATTGCACGTTCTTTGATCCTCTAGTAGAGTTACACCATCTGGGCACCCACAAGAACGACGGGAATTAGGTAGTGGGAAACAGAAGGTGCTACAAAGCCCATTATTTATGGAACATTTCGGATGGACTGTATAGAAAATACATCATAATATTAATATTATTCAGTTTACATTTAAAAATTTAAACATAAATTGCTCTCTCTACCAATTTTGGTCATGGATACACTTAACATTCAAAACAAAAACACTTTTGAATCATTTCCTGCTACTAAATAAATATTTTTTTTTAAATTTTTTAAGAGTATTTCTGCATCTCTATAAATATTTTAGTAAATATTAATCTATCAGAACGTTACTTGTTTTGGCTGTAAGATTTGACAGCACTCTTTCTTATTTGCAGCATTTTGAGTGCATATGGTAGTGGTGTCCAGTCTATAACTCAACAAAGTTATATAACATTATTTTGATTGCAAGCTTTGACGTTGATCAACCTTTCTCATTTTGCAGCACGTTATTTTGACTATCGACACTGAAAGTTCTCAGTTAATTGGCTGTGTACGATTTCCACTATATATATTGATGGTGTCTGGTTAATGACTCACTTGAAGTAATATCATGCAGGTTGTTCTCTATGACTAAGACTATTCTATATCTTACCTGACTGCACATCATTTTGTCTGTATACACTTAAGGTCTCTAGTCTACCAAATTCAGCCATGGGTGTCATCCAACCTTCCATAACCACTGCCGATACTTTGTTTATCTTTATAATTTCTCTAAAATTAAGCATTTATTTATCAATTTTTACTTGTCTCAATGTTTAATAACCACACAGTTAAAGTTTAACAATTACAACGAGACAGTTTACGTCGAGTTAAATTGAAACTACATAAAACAGTTGTCAAATATATCATTTCAGTCTCTTTAATATAATTATGAAGTTAAAAGGGTACATTAGAAAACACTTTTTTTTCTCTATAAGGTATATCATATATCATATAGATAATATAATTTTTGTCATTTATACGGCGTGTTTTCGCATATAAAGTTTTATGTTACACATCACTATTTAACATTGGGAAGACACCTACTGTTTATGGGTGGCAGTAGCGTACACGTAATCCCCACTCACAGCAAGGTGTGCAAAACCAGCCATAGAGTTCACATGAAGGACTTTTCTATCTGTTCCTTCAAGGGTCATAGAATGAATTCTGTCATTATCTATGTAGTAAACCTTGTTATCTGAAACAAGAAAAAAGAACTTGATACCAACATATTAAGAATATAGATACTCGATATTTTTTTTGCAGATGGCTAGCCACAGTTAAGAGGTATATACGTGTATTGCGCAAGAATAATGGTACATAGTAACTTTGGTATTATGGTCTACTACAGGGAGTAACTGTCCAAATGCCTCTGTTGCACATATTAGTGTTCGTTGTTTTATAAGAAGAGGTGTAAATTATCATTCTTACTTCGTTCTACACATTCTTTGTTCGAGTTTAATGTTTTTGTACAACCCTCAAATGTTTTACATAATGTAAATAACGAATTAATGTTGCAGTAAAAAATATACATTTTGCAATAAACCAATTCTAGAACAGCTTTACCATCAAAGCATTTATACAATTGTGGTTAAATTAAAACAGGAAGTTAAAATGACTATGGCTACAATTTTGAACCCTACGGAATAGAATAAAATTAAGTGATGTAGCCATTCTCTAAAGGTTCAAGAGTTTTGTTCCATTTTTTTTTTCAAGGCATAAAACGCTTTGTTCTAAGTCTCAAAAATTCACGAGTCCAAAGTCGAGACCTTGATGTCAACTTTCACTCAAGTTTATTCAACGAGGAACATAATAAATATAATAAACATGACTATATGACATTATTTCACAAAAGCATTGTCAACATAAAAAATGCTATTTCGGGCTTAATATTTTAAGTTAATCAAATTGTGAGGCATATTACTATTAAAACTGAAACGAGGTGCGAAAACGTATCTGTGTCCAACCAGTCTACCAATTGCAAGTAAATTCACTAAATGTTCAAATACGTATTCATACAATGTAAACTGAATTCGCCAAGTAAATCCTAAATAAAATCCAATATATTTCACTGAAAGCCCTAAGAATAAATCTTGAAATTAAAATTATAACTCAATGCTTAATCACACAACTTATCTTACTGAAAAAAGACAGCATTGAAATAAAACAGTACAAGAAAATAAGCAATGTTCGTTCAAACAGATGTGCTATATAATAAGTGATTTTAAATAAAACAAAACTTAAAATATTATGAATGATATACCTCTATAATCTATTGTGATGGAATTCGGCGCTACCATGCCATAGGCTATGAGTAAAAGTGGGTTGGTGCCATCCATATTAGCTCTACCAACAGATCCCTCCCCATCTATCCAGAAAACATACCTAAAATAAAAGTAATATGTATCTACAATTATATACGCAAAAAGACATTATAGAGAGAGAGATCGAGAGATCAATTACGATAAATATGTCAAATTGATTTGAATTTCAATTCACTTTTTTGTCTTTTAACCTCTATATCTCGAACCTACAGATATTTCAAAGTTTGTTGGCCCCCATCTTAAATGTAACAAGATCTGACTATATTTAAATATACTGCATGTCTGATCATTTTTGAAATAAAAAAGGTAGAAAATAATTTACCCTTGAGCAGGATGAAGGGCAAGACTGTAGGCTTTTTCAATGTTGTTGAGGATGGTTTTATGTCGGTAAGACTTATAATGGACCACACCAATACGTGAGTACATAATTGTCCACGTGTAAGGATAACCAGTGTAGTATAAGTTCCCCGTGGAATGGTCTATGGCAATGCTGTATACAATATAATTAGCTGAAAATACGAAATGCATTTATTAAAATACCATATATTGACCACCCCATGTAATAAATGCCAAACTAATTTGCTTATCATTTTTAAACGATGAAAACTATATAATTTCTAAATACATGTTCCTTTAATGTCTCTCACTGTTTAATATTCATTTCATTATGACCATCTTTATATACTGGTTAACAAAATGATGCATCAAGAAAATACTTTTTTCTTCCTCAGAAAATTATAAAAGAAAAACAAATTTTAAATTAAAAAAAAAAAAAAAAACAACAGAAAACAATGGGGTATCCAAAATAATGTAAATTATCACCACTTGATTATTACCACTTCACAAATAAAAGTTATCTTTCTTGGTAAGTTACACATACAAAATTTCAGTTAACCGTATATTTTGATAATCTTTCGAGAATTAATGAATAGGGAAACCTGAAACTTTAGCAGAACCTGTATTCTTAGCCGCCTCAAATTTGTTTCTCTCTTATGTTTATATACACCTTTTCCTAAATTTCATAAAATTCCAATCAGACTTTATCAAGCAGACAGAAAATAAACATAACACCCTTCTTACATAATTTCTATAATTGTTTATTGCAGATTTTTTTTTTACCTCTGTTGGAAATGGAATTGTATACTCTTATTTTTTTTAAATAAAATTCACAGAATATAGACACTGCCTACATATATAAACTCACCCGGGGTGTACACAATTTCTGTGATGTTACTGTTAAGTGCGGTTTTTAGAATTTGATCATCCATATAGTCCGACCAATACACACTATGGTTGTAGTAAACAGCAGAGAGTGGGTCGGCCGGCTGTGGAATGTCCAACGCGGACACTGCCTTCAGTTGTGGGTTGTCATTTAAGGATATTTGGTATATCATTCCGTGGTTAAAGTCCACAGCAACAGCAAAATTATTATCTATTGCTTCTAAAATAATAATAATTAAAAACAAATGTAGAGCTTCAAATATTACAGGCAAAATTTATAGTTTATCGATAATGCTTCTACAAAATTCATTTATTATCTTATATGAATCTTATTTCATTTTTTAAATTCTATTTTATTAATTTTTTCTGTTTATTTATTCATTTATTTTTTCCTTAATTACTGAAACAGTTAAATATGCAGAATATTGCACTAATCGAGTAGAGTAATAATTATGTTCTCAGGCCTATCCTTATATGACACGTTTGTTCCATTATAAACTTCTGTATGAAGACGTACTTGTTGTGCAGTTGTGTTTATCCTCTTGAAGTACAAATCCGAATCCACATTCACACACAGCCTCTGAACCTGATGCTATACATATCTGCTCGCATCCTCCATTTTTTACGTCACATTTATCTGTTATTAATAAAAGTGCACAGTATTGTTTGAATTTAAACTATTTAAATGTTTTAATGTATAGATGCTTGAAAAGGAGGGGATGTCTTCAGATACATTTTGAATTGTATGCCTGCCATTAAACGTTAATTTTGGCAAGGTTTACAACGTATCCTTGTCCGTCACAAAATCTAGCCTTGGTCGTGAGCTTGGAATAGGTGAGAGGAATGAAGTCAACAAATCTGACACTGTTACTGGACGGAAAGTTATACTGTGTCATGACTAAAAAAAGGATTCAATTGATAAATCTTACTTTCTTCCTCTGGTTGCATTGTTGGATCCATTATTGCAAAGGCAGTTATTTCTCTGATGTAGTTTAAACGTGGATAAGTAACATCTTCTTCGTGATATAGGTTATAGACTCTTAGAGAATTGTTACCCTTAGTGCTGATGGAATAATCCTACAATAAGTTACAAAGAGGTTGATTTACTTAACTGAAGCTCCTTGTTCCAAAAAATAAATCTCGTAAACGTGAGTTTCCTTGTTCCAAAAAAATAAAGCCAGTAAACTTGAATTTCCCGTGGAATCAAAATTACAACAGTCACAGAGTCTGAGCTTGAATAACAAGTATTTATCTAATTATTATGATTGCATTATAATTAGTAGAGTGTCATGTTTAGTAAATGTAAAAGGCGAAGATGACGAACAGTGATCAATTTCATAAATCCAGTAAACAAAAGAAATAGTGAACAGGGCAACGAACTCCTGGAAACACTAGAGGTGGTATCAGGTGCCTAGAGAAGTAAGCATCCCCTGTCGACCGGTCACACCTGCCATGAGCTCTTTATATAGATCATGTAGACGTAGTACTAGTATAAAAGCAACTACCAAACAAATTGTATGAAATGTGATTTTGAAAAATGTCATCCTCAGAAAGTGAACTGTAAGTATAAGTTGGATTTTCAGATGTAGAATTAAAACCAAGTTCTTCTAAATTAGAGTTATAATAATGAGCCTTACAAAAAAAGACGATATTGTTGCAAGTCTTGTCTGTCTTATGTAGTTTTTCTAATTCTTTTTCCACCTCCAATGTAATGAAATTGGAAGGATATATGGTTCGCTTTGCAAATTGCCTTTTAACTTTCTAATACGTTTCGTTAATATATTTCTAAAAACTTATATTAATCCATTTTGTCAAAGTGTTCAGGTCTTCCCCTTCATATTTAATCAAACGTTTGGCATAATCTTTGACAGAATTCATAACAGATGTGAATTCTGTCGCCAATTGAAAGATCGGGGCTCCCTGTATTTAGGACCTTTTAAGATGACTGCTTTTAGCTTACCATTTTTAACGATATAAACATCACCAGTAATGTCGTGTCCAGCTGGACTGTAGTTGAAAGAAGAAGAATACTTCTAGTTTTAGATGTTCAATATCTAGGCACTTTAAGGTTTGTTTATAATTGAAAAGTTTGGAAGCAACAGTTTGGGAATATTTGTAGGAAATGCAGGGCATAGACTTCAACTTAAAATATGGTGGAACGCAAGACTGAACTTTTTCATGATTAAGAATGTTATTCGTGTTCACAGCATTTGATCGTTTCTTGGTAAATTTAAGTTTAAGGAACCTACGGGTTGAGTCAGACTTCTCACGTAGTGGCTTTAAGAGCCTGTGCTAGGCAGCATCCATAATCACAAACTCTACATGTAGTTTGTATTCTGCAGTTGAAGAACCTAAATATGGACTTGCTTTAGCTTCTTCAAATAGTCCATTTAGAAATTTTACGGGAACCGAGTCAAGTTTAGTGCGAATGTGATGAAAATCTAATTTATTGACGGAAGCCAAAGTTAATCAAAAGATATATATATATATATATATATATATATATATATATATATATATATATATATATATATATATATATATATATATATATATATATGGTCTATTGTACGGTCGATGTCCATGACTACGCTTACGTCTAGGTGCACGAGGGTCGTTCAATAAATAATGCAACAAACAGTACATTAAAGTAAATATAAATCTATTTAATTTTATTTTTTCACAATTGAAAACGTTCCATTAAAGAGCTCCTAATCACAGAAAACTCCATGATTTTTCCTATTGTTCTCGCAAAGAAATTCATTTTTAAAGTAAGCATGGTTACTACAGAGAGCTGAAAACTGTTTAAAATGATCTCTGCCAAGAAGATGAAAATGAGAGCATATGTTAAAACTGTGCTTCTTTACATAAATCGCAACAAAAGAGCTCATATTAAAGATATGATTTTTATATGTGGAAAGAATAGTCTTTAACGCTGTATAGTTTTCAGATTGATTCAGAAATTCAAAAGTAAAAAGGAAAGTAAAAAAATAACAAACTGGTCGATTAAAATTTGTAGGGACACCAAAAAATATCGATGCAATGTGCAACATGATATCTGAAAATGTCAGATTTGCATCGAAAGACATTGCTAAGACACTAAGCATTTCATCATCACAACAGTTTATAGAATTCTGATAACAGAAATGAAATGTCTTTCAGATAGGCGTCTTACTTTCCTAAAATTGCCTAAGAGAAAACACGCCTTAAATATGCCAATGGTCTATTTAAACGCTGCTGCAAATAACTACGGAGAAATAAATGAAATTCCGAAGAAAAGAAAGTTTACAGAGCTTTGCCATCTCCAATATTCGCTAGATCTCAGCCATTGTGAGATCTTTTTATTCCTAAAACGCATGAAAACAATCAAAGGAAGATTGTACAATAGCAGATCTGTCATGGGAAGTGATGTTCTTCAGTGTCTTTTGGGCATCCCTAATGTTAAGAATTTGTATTACGTACTTTTTTATTTTTAGATGACCTATTGCATTATTTATTGAACGACCCTCGTATTGTGAAAAAGTCCCATTACATTCACAATCGCACACTGTGAGCTTGAGAGATTCCCTACATTATTTATATGGTCGTTACAACCATACGGAAAGGTCGTGCCTAGTTTCCTGATTCAGTATTCTTCTCATTCTCTACGGAATGGAGTACTTAAAATGAGACTACTAGTTGAAAGATGTATTTTTCCCCAAACTTCTAACCCTAATTGAAGAATATAGTGGTCAGGCGAATTGAAATGTTTATTAAGATGTTGATGACCCCCATTATTTATTCAAAACATATACCCTGTCATTCTCTTATTGGGTGAACCCTTTGTTTCCCCAATGTGAATCAAGTCCACATATAGTATACTTGATTCCATAGACAATGTTTGAAGTTTTACAAGTCAAATTTTTACAGTTTCAGTATAAAACTTTGTTCAGTAAGGTTGCTGTAAAACAAGTGTTTGTTATCAAAATATCACAGGTTTTGCAATTTTTAGTAGATCATTTGGATATTGAACTCATGGGATCCGAAAAAGAATTGTCGAACATATCTCTGATTGCAACCTTACAATCTTTACTTTTAGTAAAAGTTTGGTTTGTTTTATGCCAAAACTGGTTATCTGCTGAACTGTATATATATATATATATATATATATATATATATATATATATATATATATATATATATATATATATATATATATATATATATATATATATATATATATATATAATAATGATAATAATAATAAATTGTTTAAGTCCCGAAAAAAAAAAAAACCGAGGTGCACTAACCATTCTGTCAGGGAATGTGCCACTTTTGGAACTATTTTGTTGTTCTAATATTTACAAAATTTGGGGGAAAAAAGTAGGTTAATAAGTAAATTAAAATGCACTTTGGTAATTCCGACACCTCTCTGGATATATGAGGTAAACACAAACCATGCGCATTAATAGAGTATCTATATAGAAAATTAATACAAATATGAGTAGAAATTAGAACAGAGGTTATGTGAAAGCGTAGTCTTTTAGGAAGTATCTTCCACTCATCGTAAGGTGGCACCCAGTCATTCGAGATCTTTCAATAAGAAATACTTCAATCATCATGCTAGTGACAAACATGCTCCATGTAATCAATGATAATTTTGAACCGTATCAAACTACCAAAGGAAAACAATAAATCATGCTGTATGTTATAGCAATAATGGGCAAATGGAAAATAAAGCATTCATTTTCAAATTGATGTTTTAATTTGATAGTTTAACTCACCTTGTAAATCAGTAGCTTTGTGTCTGGTCCCATTCTATGTGCGGTCGGGATGTGGAATTTGTTATTCTCGCTTATGTATGTTAATCTCTTATTGCTAATCCAAAATAATCTGTGTATGAGGAAAATCATTTTTAAATATCTCACACGTCTAAAATCAATTCATGATTACTATAAGAAAATATCCATCATTCGTAGTACAGTAAAACGTTAAAAAGATGCTTATGTCTTAATTCAAGCTTTAACAAACTTTTTTTTTTATACAATATATTTTAAATATGTCCATGTAAGTAAGAGTATCTAACTGTGAGATAATTTCTAGTTTTAATATCAACTACGTATCCTGTTTTTTGTTCATTTAACATAGATGTCATATTTCAGATTACGTCAAATAAATAAGACAGTCTCGTATAGAGAATTTATACAAAAACAAAATCTCCCCCAAGACTACATCATAATTTACAATAGCTTACACATTTATTCCAACATCATAGAACAGACCAGAAGGGTTGGAGTAAAGGTGACTCTGGTTCGTCTTTCGCTGACCTCCCACAAGATTACCGGATTCAATTTGCAGCAAGGAATTGGAATTGTCGTGAAATGATATCCAATACAGTTTACTGAAAAGATAATGATGTACACAAAACACGATTCGCGGGTTACTTCCATGTAAAATTGAATGTACATTTTTATTTTTCTCTTAAAAAAGGACAAAGACAGAAATTAAATTGAAAACAAATCAAATGTTATGTGTATATGAATCTTAGCCGATATTTGAATTGTAAGTTGCCTTCTTTTCAATGTTTAATATGTTTTCATTTCGCCTCAATTGACCCATTTGTATAAATACCAGTTGAGACATTTTGCTTTCTTTATCAATCATTCCTTTTACAGAACTTATTTAAACACAAAACACAGGTAAAAATATCATGTAAAAGCAAGGAAGTTAAATTAGATATGAAAGAAATGGAGTTGATATTTTTTAAGTTGTTGGTTATGGTATGATATAAATAATATTGTAATGGTACAGTATACAAGACGTGTGTCTGTTACAGGTTCCTTATAGATGTGCTGACTATAGTTGTTAAGTCTCGCAAAACTCAGAGAAGTGAGCAAAACCCGAGGTATAAATAACATTTGGGTCTCTGGCAATACCTAATTTTGAATTTGATCAATAAAATTTATGAATTATAAATATTATAGAGTATGTGAAGTCTAAAACGAGGTAAGTCATTGACAATTAAGTCGATGAAACAAGAATATCAGTCTCGTTTATATATTTGAATACTGTTAGTTATCTCCATATTTCTATACTTGAATTAAGTGGATCGATTGCTAAACCTCTGGGACTGTTTAGTCCAGTAAGGACTGTGTATAGATATAACATACTTACTTATTATGTGGATCGATGGCTAAATCTCTTGGACTGTTGAGTCCAGTAAAAATTGTGTAGTCCGTTTTTGTAATTTTTACTGGTGTCAACAGTCAAGAGATTTAGCCCATCGATCCACCATAATAAGTAAGTATGTCATCCCAATCACTATAGACCAGTCCTTACAGACAAAATGTAACCAAGAGGTCTAGAAGGTCATCAGAATGTTTCTTTTGATATGGTCAACTAAGCTCAGCTAGGAAAAGAACTGGACCCATGACATAATTCTTAATGTTTTATAGATAAGGCTAATAGTTTGTTTGTTAGATGCCCAAGATAAGGAAGATTTTAAATGCAATACAAGAATCTCATAGTTTGGTAAAAGGATATGTGTTCATTATGATTTTATCTCGTAGTTTGCTTGTAAAGAAAAACATTTTCTGTAAGAAAACTGAATTTTCAACATACACAAACAGCAGAATGACTTAAGGTCGACCGACGGAAACTGTAGACCTTAATAAGTTGCGGACTTTTAACTTCAATGCTGGAAAAATTACCAATACGTTTAGAAATGAAAAGAAAAACAGCATCAAGTTCTTGGTGCATTTTTTAAAAAAAATTATCAAAACATTTATTTAACGAAACCATATTTGTGATAACAGACTAATTCAACTGAAATTTTACCAAGAGCGTACCAGAAACATTTCCTGTGGAAGCCAAAGACGTGTTTTTCATGGTCACTAGATCATACATCACAATCTCGTTTCCGGCAGCAAATATAACTTTAGAGTTTTCAGCTGCCACGGCTATGTGTGTTATGGTCTTGTTCCAAGTTAAGAAACAAGAAACATTGGATGTTAGGTACGTGATTATTCGGATATCCACTGTGCACAACAAGTTCTGGCTGGAAAATATTATCGCTTTGCCATGCGCAGAGTGGGATGCTGGAAATTAGAAGAAAATAGTAATATATATATTTGAAACATCATATCATTAAATCATTATCGATGGATTACATTTTTTTTTTCGTAAAAATTTATTTATAAGATACATTACCATTACAAGTTGTGTTATCTGGATTAAGAATATATCCTTCTTTACAATGACAGACAGCTCCATTGAGGGAGTTTGTACAGATGTGTTCACATCCTTTATCCTTACATGAATCTACAGAGGAGTCCAAAAATAACCATCATCAGTCACATTCAAATACTTTACATCTATGAATGATTAAAATATTAAATAAAGTAATATAGTAAAAAAAATTCTCTTGACTGGACACGTGATCAAATCCTTGAATCGTACAGGTTTGATTACGTACAAATACACATGCATAAACTTAAGTAGATCGGTTACTTGAATTCGAATACATTAGTTTCCAGTTGCTAGATTCCAAAATAAACAAAGATATTATCAAAAGTCGAAATATAGAATAAAAGCAAAGTAAAATTATATGTAGTTTACAATTTTTCTGAAATAATTGCTTGTTTTTATTGTGAAAACTTAAATTAAAGCGATTAAAATAATTTTAACATTAGGTGGCTAAAGTCATGAATTCAGATATATTGTATTTACCTAAGTTGTAATTCTTGACAAAATACAATTTGGTCATCTGTCCTCAAAAAACTTATTTGATTATAAATTCGCTTGAATGGACAAAATTACGTTCAAAGTAATTTGATATTTACCTGTACTGGTGGTAGTTTTGTCTGCTAGTGCGGTCAGTCCCCAGGGGACTTCCCATGAGAATTCATTTCGCCACGTCTCCTGTCCGGAATCAATCCCAACACAGAATACAAATTCCTCATCATACTCAGTTCCACATATGACATTCTGATAATTCGTAAAAAAGCAGGAATAAAAAAGAGAGGATGAATTTTAATGAACGTCGGTTATAAGCTTCTCAGATTGAACATTTAATAAAGCCACATAAAAACTATGTACGAGGGTCGTTCAACAAATAATGCAATAGGTCATCTAAAAGTAAGAAAAATATGTAATACATATTCTAAATATTTTCAATCCCTCAAAGCATTCCCTGTTACCCTTTACACATGTCTTACGTCTTTGTACCCATGACCAGAAAACTTTAGCATACTCATCTTTGGGGATGCCCCAAAGACACTGATGAATATCACTTCCCATGGAATATCTAATATTGTACAATCTTCCTTTGATTGTTTTCATGCGTTTTTGGAATAAAAAGATCTCACATTGGCATGGATCTAGCGAATATGGGGAATAGCAAAGGTCTGTAAACTTTTTTTTCTTCAGAATTTCATTTATTTCTCTGTGCTTATTTGCAGCAGCGTTGTCAGGTGCAAGAAAATTACCCTGGGTACGGTATTCGGACTTCCTTTCCAAGAAATCTGTTTACCTATCCTCATTGCAATTTGAACATAAACGTTACCATTGATGGCCCTTCCTTTCTTTGCATGTAAATGTTTTACTGACCTCTTGAAAAAAATTAAAACTAATAAAACATGCTTGTAGCCCTTGTTTCTCTTTACAATAATTAGAACGATAGCTTTTTCTTTCATTCCATATGTTATTATTGATCTTCCTTTTTGGACTATAAAAAGTGCACCGATGTTTCGTCATCTATCATGCAAAATTAACAAACCTTCTATTTTGTTAAAATATTTGTTTTTAAATAAACCTTTGGCACATTTAATGCGTGTTTTTTTTTTCTTTCTCTTAGGCAACTTTAAGAAAATAAGGCACCTATCTGATAGAAATATCGTTATATTCATTTCCATTGTCATAATTCTATAAAATGTTGTGATGATGAAATTAGCAATGGCTTTCGATGTAAATCTGACATTTTCAGATATCATATTGCACATAGCATCGATAATTTTTGGTGTCCCTACAAATTTCAATCGACCAGTTTGACTCTTACATTTTAACTCTCCTTTTTTAATTTTGAATTTCTGAATCAATCTGAAAACTATACAGCGTTAAAGACTATTCTTTCCACATATAAAAAGCACATCTTTAATATGTGTTCTTCGGCGATTTATGTAAAGAAGCACAGTTTTCATGTACACTTTCATTTTCATCTTGGCAGAGATCATTTAAACAGTTTTCAGCTCAGTGTAGTAACCATGCTTACTTTAAAAGTGAATTTCTTTGCGAAGACAATAGAAAAAAGCATGGGGTTTTCTTTGATTAGGAGCTATTTAATTGAACGTTTCAACTCTGAAAAAATAAGATCTATTTTTACTATGATATACTAGTACTGTTTGTTGCATTATTTATTGAGCGAACCCCGTATTTCAATTTTCTAAAGGAGATTGGTGAACAAGATCTGCAGAATGCATATAAGTTCAGATATATAAAAGTTGTATTCAGATTGTGAATTTAGTATTCAGAGTAAAGTTCTCAATTTACGAACTTATGATAAATAAAACTTCTTCAAGGAAAATTTTTCTCGCCAAAAAAGTATTCTGTTACTAAAAATAATGTGGTATTCGTGAGGTTCGAACACTAGCAATTTAACTCCTGAGTATCATTTTCTTTTGAGACTAACATGCTATCCACTAAGCGATACAACTACTGATGAATATTGGCATTTAAATCATGTTTGACTGTGATATGACCCTTAACAAAATGCAAATGTTGTGTTAAAAAAGTGTATTTTTAAGGTATGGTGGGCCTCTGCTCCATGTTTTGTTAACAAAACAATATATATTTTTACGCAGACTTTGAAGATAAACTTCCAAATAATTGGAGCGAAGACCCACTCATATCGAAAAATTGTATTACAGTGCGGGAAAATTATTCTTTTTGCCCTCTTTCGTGTGTACATGTTATTTCATAGGCAAATATCTTCAATCTGTTATATTTTTGAAAATTGTGGAAATTTTACCTAAAGTTTACTTAAATATTAGATGAAATATCATAGAAAAGTTTATTACAATTGAGATTTAATTTTTCACCTTCATGTTTGTCGCACTCTATGCATTTTTTCGCCTAGCTTGTTCGCCCATCTTCTTTAATTTCAAAATACTTACCCTGTACACCACAATGTTGGTGATGAAAAGATTAATATTAGTAGAACGGTAGATAACTTTCCGATTTCCCCCGTTGTAATCACTGCTTTCCAGGGTATTCCTGTAGTTGTCTACCCAGTATATCGTCCTTTTCGAGGGATTGGGATCACATTTCATATCGGGAACCCAAAGAAGGTTCTTAACTATTATCTGTCTGTTCTTTCCTGACAAATCAGAGCGTTCGATGAAGGCAGAGGCTCCATTGTTTGACCAAAACAGAAATCTGAAAACGAAGACATGGTTACTTCCGCTTTTATTTTCTGCAATTTGCTTGTTTCTCTTTTGCGTTTTAGCTCACCTGAGCCAAAGGCTCACGTGAGCTTTTCTGATCAAAGAGTGTCCAGCGTCCGTCTGTGGTATGCCATCTGTAAACTTTTCACATTTTCGACTTCTTAAGAACCACTTGGCCACACAATATCAACCAAACTTGCAACAAAGCATCCTTGGGTGAAAGAAATTTTAGTCTATTCACAGGAAGTGCCACGACCTCTTTCAAGGGGAGAATTAGGAATTCGTGAAAAATTTGGTGGCATCTTTGAAAAATCAAGAACCACTGGGCAAGAAAAGATGGAACTTATGTGAAGCTTCATTACATACAGATTCAAGTTTGTTCATTTCATAACCCCCGGAGGTAGGGCGGGGGCACAAGATGGGGTTGAATTTTTACATAGGAATAAATAGGAAATGTCTTTAAAAATCTTCTTCTCGAGAACAGCAAAGCCATGATTAGTCAAATTATAATAGAGATATCCTCAGGTAGTGTAGATTAAAGTTTGTTCCAATCATGACCTTTTGGGGTAGGACAGGGCCAAAACAGGGGGTTAAAGTTTACCATAGGAATAAATAGGAATTAAAAATTTCTTCTAAAGAACAGTTTGGTCATTACTAATCATATTAATATAGAAGTATCCTCGGGTAGTGTAGATTCACATTTGTTCAAATCAGGACCCCTGGGGATAGGGTGGGGCCACAACAGTGGGTCAAAGTTTAACATAGGAATATATAGGTGTAATGGTTAAGGGGCATTTGAGTAAAACGCATTGAAGACTTCAGATAGTGGAATTACCTGACAACCCTTGGAATGGACAAGCCAAAAGATATATAAGGCAAAGCTTTGAGAAAGTCAGGTATTCAGAAGCTATATGAAGAAGTTGGACGTTGAATTAGCATTAAGGAAGTTAAGGTATTCCATCCCTAATAGCATCAGATGCAGTGGAATTACTATTAGCATGTAAGGGTGGGATGTGTCCTAATTTATGACCTTGAATTTTGTTAACAGTTATCTCCCTCTTTTTTAATTAATAAAAAAAAAAAATTAAAAAATCGTTTTCAATTGTCATTCTATTTCTAATGTTTTAATGCATCTTTCCACCACAGTATTTATTGATATTCTTATTATTTTGATTTTTATTTTAAAAACTCCCTTCTCCCCATAGACTTGCAATCTTTGTTAATTAATTACTGCTTAGCTAATTACACTTTTGAAACTTTCTTTTGGTAAATCCCTTTCTACTGTAAATTGCTTTAAATTAATATCAGAGTATTATGTGCGTGATGGATATTTGTAACAATCACTATTATACTTGTACATATTATTTGTATTTCCCGCGTTTTGTCCCTATGCCCCATCTACCCATAAGCCCTTGCAAAATAGCTTGGCCGACCAGAACTATTGAAGCCTGGTCATTCCCAGCAGAGAAGCGTAGCAGCAGACACGTTTCTACAATTGAAGCAGCTAGTGTACATGCAAATAGCTGCCATACAATCAGTATCTTGACTTTGGCACGGAGACAAGTCCGTGGTAAGTATTTACTTATAATATTATTAATATTCGTTATGTATATAGTTTTTTTAGGTAACTTTATTACTGAATACGTATTCGTTCTTATATTCTGAACTTGGCCAGCTCTCACAATTTTACCTGTTGTTCAGTCAGGTGTGACGGTTAGCGAGAGTGTTCGAATGGCTTTTGTATTATATCGATAGAGTTTGAAAGTGTTATTGTACGCAATTTTCTTGTATTCAGATTTGTTACATTATGTGAAATATTTTGTCCATTTAAATTTTGGTTTAAATGTCTGGGCGGAAGTGAATGACCGGAAGTCGAAAGTAAGGTGCGCCATGTTGGCAATAATTTGTTTTGACTTATGTTAACTGGTAACCATTATAATTTATACCTATTGATTGATTGATTTATTTATGAGAATGAATTGCCAAACATAGTAGTGTTGCCAAACATTATTTAGTGAAACATGTGACTTAAAAAATATTCGTCATTGTAGCGTCAAGGACACTGGTATGACATGTGCTGGATACATGCACTAAGCTGAGGGGATCGTCGAGACACAGCGAAAGGTTCCAGGACTAAGACCCGGAAGGATGCTGTGTTTGGATCAAGATTCAGTGATGGTGGACAGATACAGATAAGTCAATCCATGTAGCTCGATATAGGAACACTGACGTATTGGAAAACCTGACATGGTTTCGTTCATACGACGATGCTGATGATGGTGATGATGACAATGATAATCATTGACATGGAGATGACGACTCCAGTGGGATATGTTTGGCAATGATACTTTGAGTGAAATCTATACCCTGGGTTAATTGGTTAATTGTCTGATTATTGATTACCAATTGCTATTATTAATTTTTTTTTGTTTAATAGTGTGGAAGAGTGTGTGGATCAGAGTGTGGTTGTCTGTTTGAAATCTTCTTTATTCTTATTATTATTATCTTTTTTTTGTAAATAAATTTGTTAAAACTTAGTTGAATTTGTGTGATTTTTGGAGATAGCCAGCTTGACCACGTGACAATATTTAAGGATAGAGAATTTGGTCCTTTTAGGGATGGAAAACCTTACGGGTAAGAGCAAAGTTATAAACACCAGTAGCAAGTATTCTATGGATTGATGTTAAGTCTAGTGTAGTAAAGCTGACGAAGATTGAGACACCCAATTCTTATTTCTCAATGGGAACCTGGGGGAGAAACACAGTGCAAGTAGAACCTTACCTAGTCCCCGTCTCTAGATAAGAGAAAATTTAAGTACTGTGTGAGATACAAATGTACCCTCTGACAAAGCTGTCTTAATAATCATTCCAATCATTAACTCAGACAGAGTAGAAGGAAAACCTTAATATCCCTTGTAAAAACCTGGTCAAACACTCACGTAGGAAATATCTTAATCTTCTTCTCAAGAAAAACTAAGCCATTATAAGTCATATTTATACAGAAGCAACCTTAGGTATTGTAGAATCAAGTTTGTTCAAATTATGACCCCCCCCCCCCCCCCGAGGTTGGGGGCACAACAGAGGGTCAAAGTTTTGCATGAGAATATATAGGAATCATCTTTAAAAAATGCTCAAGAACAGCCAGACCATTATTAGTCATATTATCATAGAAGCATCCTAAGGTAATGTAGATTCAAAGAAGATGGGCGATCAAGGCGAGCTCAATTTTTACAAACACGAATGTGAAAAATTAAATCTCAATTATAATAACATTTTCTCTGATATTTTATCCAAGATTAAAGCTGAACACGACTCGTAAATAGGCATACGCCATTTTCGATATTATATCTACGACACATCAACACCAGGGTATACTCTTCGCATTCGTTACACCTGACTGCTTTATTGTCACGGGTATCGGCGTGGAATGACGACCCATGTTCATGCTGGTTATCTTGCATTACCTTTGTTTACATTTTATTGTAGTTACGTGTATCTGTGTTTGTTTGTATAATGCACTGACCTGTACAACTATAATTGTAAGTTTCTTTTGTATCTACTTTCCTGCATTAGATGAGGTATTACAGTTATTTTTGTCGCTATCGAGTGCTGAAAAGCATACGTCCGTCTACACCGATGTCGACTTATTACACTGAACAGTGTCCAAGTCAGGCCCTTTATATAGGGCTCCTCAGATATAGCGAGAATCCGAACAAAAATGGCGGACACATTGCTTTTACGAGTCATGTTCAGCTTTAAAGTTTACTTTATCCAAAATCTCCACAATTTGCAAAAATCTCACTAAGATTGAAATTATTTGCCTATGAAATAGCATACATCCACTATAGAGGGCAAAAAGTATCAATTTCTTATACTAAAACACAATTTTTCTATATGAGTGAGTCTTCGCTCCATATCTTTTAAAGTTTATCCTCAAAGTTTACGAAAAAATATATATTTTTGGTCAACAACAACGTGAAGCAAAGACCCACTATATCTTAACGAGGTTCGTTGCTGAGCTTTTGAGCAGATTCTTGTCTAGACCTCTGTTTAAAAAATTCTGCATAATGTTTAGTTCTTACAATAAATTTTTGATTCTACAATGCTAATTAAACTATATTCAATTAAAACCCCATGATTAAATTCCATACCGAAAGCCTTAAGTGAGGAACTATATTTTGTGGCTGAAGGTTTTATAGAAGAAAATTATCAATTTTTCTCTTTCAAAATATTTACAGTATTGTTAAGTTTGGATTTGTATTTTTACATGCAGCCTGCACACAGAATTATTTTGTGCAGTGAAATGTTTTATATGCTGGTCCTAATTAATATTAAATTAACCGTCATGAATTCTTTCATCATATTGGACAAATATTGCAAATATATTGTGAAAGTCCTGGGAGAAAAATAGCCCATTTTAGGCTAAAAATTACCACTGTTTTAGTTATATCTAAACATTAACATCACAGACCCCCACTTTTAATTTTATTTTCTGAATATACAAGATCATTTTAACCATTCTGCAAAAATTCAGAAAATTTCATTACTTTCAAATAAATTTATTGCTTGTTAATTTTTTTTATGCCAGAACAATTACATTTCCTGAGTGCAAAAAGGTCAAATAATTGACTATGCAGAGTAACTTTAAACTTTGTTTGTTGTCACAAATTTTAAGGAGACTATTCAAGACGAATATAGACTGTGTTTGTTCCCATAATTTATTTGGATAAAAAATATTAGAGGGAAAACTTTGAAAAATTGATTTATGTGTTAGACGTAATTACAGTGCAAAAAGGTCATATTAAATGCTCCTTAGCGCCGAAAGAAGCGCATTGACTCCCATTTTTGGTTTTGAATTTTTATTAAGCTATGTGTATAGATTCCAAAAATATTCTTGATAAAAAAATCTCAATACTTTTGATAACAGGATCCAACCTCCTTAAAATACACTTTTATGACACAGCATTCGCATCGTTTCGAGAAATACTTGAACTCCATTTAGTCTAAGGTCATATCACAAACATGATTTAAATACCACTATTCATTAAGAGCTGTGTAGCGTAGTGCTCAGTATGTTAGTCTCGAAGGAAAATGATACTCAGGATTTTTATTGCTAGTGTTTGAACCCCACGAATACCACATATTTTTTTAAATAACAGAATAATTTTTGCCGAGAAAATTTTCTTCAGAAAAGTTCTGTTTATCATAACTTCATAAATTTCAATAATGAGAACTATCTCAATACTATTTTTTTTAAAATCTGAAGCTATAGGCATTCTGCGCGCCTTGTTCACCCATCTCCTTTGTTCAAATTTAGGGTGGATAGGGTGGAGCCAAAATGAGCGATTAGAGTTTTACATAGAAATACATATGGAAAAAAAATCTTTAAAATTCTTCTGTTTAAGAACAGTACAGCCATGATTAGTAATATTGAAATAGAAGCACCCTGAGGTAGTGTAAATTTATCCCCACCCCTCCTTGTTCAATACTGAACTGATTTCTGCTTCTTCATAGCCAATGTGCTCAAGTGAGCGATATGGTCCATAGGCCTCTTGTCTTATTGCTAGTAGTCCACCTTTATGATTTATTAGAAACAATATCAAGTAAGTAAATTATACATTTTCTACGAAAAAAAAATCATTTGCATAATTTTTTACACACACACCCTTAATCCCTAACATACACATACACAAATAAATGCATATTATGTGTATGTGGTTGGGGGAGGGAGAGTGTGTATGGTGATATTTGTCAGGAAAAAAAAGGGGGCGGGGGTACTTGATCAGACATTTTTTTAAATTATCATTTTTTATCAAATCAAATACAAAATGTTTTTGCCTCTTAATTGTCCTTTGATTATTAGTGAGGAAAGCGCAAGGACGGAGGAAGTTTGCAGTGAATAAACTTAAATAACTTGAGACAAAAGAAGCCTATAAGTTGGAGCTGAGGAATAGATTCTCTGCATCAGAGATCACGGATGATGGAAACAACATAGACGAAAAGTGGGATAACATCAAGGTTTGTCTTGCTTCGGCAGCAAAGGAGACACTGGGATATAGGAAAAGTGTGAAAGAGGAGTGGCTAACATCTGATACATGGACTCTTATATCAGAGAGAAAAAACATCAAATCAAAGATCCTAGACTGCAAAGACAACTCAGAGCAGGAATCCCTATCAAAGTCTTAAAAGAATAAGGATAGAGAGGTCAAAAGGAGTGCGAGGCGAGACAAGCGGAAGCATATAGAAGACAAGGTAAGTAGACTTGAGGAAGCAGCAAGGACTGAAAATATTCAAGAACTCTATAAGATCACCAAACTGATGTCTGGCAAATTCACCAACAATTCAAATGTTGTGAAAGACCAGTATGGCAACATCCTTTCCAAGGACAGTGACATCACGGAAAGATGGGCAGAACATTTTAGATCAGTTCTGAATAGAGGAAACCCAACTCAACCACCAGATATCGAAATGATAACAACAACATAGCAGAACTTGACATCAGTGTGGAGGAAATAAGTGTAGAGGAAATACAGAAGGCCATCAGAAAGATGAAAGACAACAAAGCTGCAGAAGTAGATGACATCCCAGCAGAATTACTAAAAGCAGACATTGAAGCAACATCTAAGGTCATATATATATAGGATCTCCCATGATTTGTAGTTGGATATGATTTTTATCCAACGAGTTGTGTTTTTTATCCCCGAGCCTTGGCGAGGGGATAAAAACACACAACGAGTTGGATAAAAGTCATATCCAACTACAAATCATGGGAGATTCTTTTTATCCCATGTTTAATACTTCACAACCAATGTTTTACACTGTTTTATATAGGACTCCACTTTAATTTACTTCATCGCGCTAACGCAAAAACCATTGTGACGTCACAACTGTGGATTATGAAAAAATTATCCAATGAGTCATATCCACGGGATAAAGGGGTAAACATGGGATAAAATCTGTTCCAAGACATTTGGAGAACCAACATGGTACCAACAGAGTGGAAAAATGGACTTATTATAAAACTATCAAAAAAGGGAGATAAATCAGAGTGCAACAACTGGCGTGGAATCACACTTTTAACCACAATAAGTACAGTGTTTACCAGAGTGCTTTTAGAGAGAGTAAAACAACAGGTCGATGCACAACTGAGAAAGGAGCAAGCAGGGTTTAGACTAGGAAGATCATGTTGCGACCAAATTTTTGTACTACGAAACATCATAGAGCAGTCAATAGAATGGCAGTCCTCTCTATACCTTAACTTTGTAGACTTTGAAAAGGCCTTTGATAGTGTACATCTGGAAAGTTTATGGAAGCTCTTGAGACTGTATGGCCTACCATCGAAGATTACTGACATCATCAGGGTACTGCATGAAGGATTTCAGTGTAGTGTGATGGATGACAATGCCCAAACAGAGTGGTTCCCAGTAACATCGGGACTGAAACAGGGCTGTATTTTATCTCCGCTGCTCTTCTTAGTGGCCATAGACTGGGTCATGAGGGAATCCAACGGAGATAAGGATAACGGCATTAGATGCAGAATGGAAAACAAACTGGATAACCTGGATTATGCTGACGACCTATGTCTCACCTCTTCCACCTATCAGCAAATCCAGGAGAAAACAACCAAACTCCATACAACATCTAGAAGTTTAGGCTTAAACATCAACTTAAACAATACCAAAATAATGAGAATCAATGCACGGAACAAGAACCCTGTACAAGTAAATGGAGAGAGTTTGGAAGATGTAGACACCTTCACATACCTGGGCAGCATTGTAACAACATCAGGAGGTACTGACGAGGACATTACATCAAGAATCAACAAAGCCCGTCATGTGTTTGCCATCTTAAAACCAGTTTGGACCTTCTCCTATATTACAATTAGGACAAAGCTCAGGATCTTCAATAGTAATGTAAAATCAGTATTACTATATGGATCAGAATGCTGGAAGCTCCGAAAAGACCTCGCAAGGAAACTGAGAGTGTTTGTGAATCGATGCCTACGGGTCATATTTAAGATCAGATGGCCAAAAGTAGTGTCTAACAACGACCTCAGAGAGATGTCCGGACAAGAAGACATTGTTGTGGAAATTGTAAGAAGAAGGTGGAGATGGGTGGAGATGGGTCGGCCATGTGCTCAGAAAAGACCAGCACAACATCACCAGAGAAAGCATTTTCTGGCCAAAAACAACATGGCGAAGAAAATCAGAGAATGAGCTTAAAGAGATAGGGTTGACATGGAAGGCAATAGAAACAAAAGCAAAGGATAGGACTGGGTGGAGGGACTGTGCGGCTACCTTATGTGCCACCTGGCATGGAGAGGCCTAAGTAAGTAAGTAATAAAACAAAAATGCAATTATCCTCACATAATCTAGCTATATAGACTAGAATATCCCTAGGAATGAGAGACGTTGTAAAACTTGTGAAGAAATTGAAGATGAATACCAACTCGTACTTATTTGCCCCTCTATACTGATTATAGACATAAGATTTTAATTATATAAAATTTGGTGGGAAAAAAACTTCCATGTTTAAATTTGTTCAGTTATTAAGCGTCAATAATTTACAAGAGCTAGGTAACCTAAGAAATATATATTTGTAAATCATTTGAACTTCATATGTACATGTTTAATGTAACCTGTTTAATATGACTAGTATACATGTATATGTAATGTACAGCTTTCGTCGGTTTACTGTATATAATATGTATCTTGTAAATATGCCATAAGATTGTGTTTTGAGCAATAAATTGAACTTGAAATTGAAAATAACGACAAAAAGAACATAAAACTTATTACTATTTTTCAATCTTAAAATGTCAGTTGGATAGGTTTTAAACTGAAGCTACTAAAGTTGTCAAATTGCAGATTGTTTTGAAAATATATAAAAGGATTTTTTTCATGAACAGGAAATTTTAAGGATAAATTACGCCAACAAAAATTAGATGCATGGATAGTATACAATTGATCCCTGGTTTTGATTAAAAATAACATAAATTCCAAAAATATAAAGAAATTCGTGTTCAAACATGCAACTTTGTGGGATTTCCTAAAGAAATCTACACGATTGTTTGCACACATATTATGACATTATTATAAAATCTTACAGAATTTCTACATCTACTTTGGCAAATATTCAATGTATTGATATGAACCTAAATCTTTTCGATATAGTGCTGATTTCTGATTAAAAAAATATTTTTTTTCCTAAATACGGGATATGCTGTATATACTTTCTGGCTAGGAGCTTATGTTGAGGATAATTAAATGAAATCTAACCTGTTGTTTGGATCTACAGCAATGGCCCCAGGTGTTGAAAGCTGGTCACTAATAAGGACCTTATACACAGAATTATCATTAGCGTCCACTGGTTGTACAGCTATCCAGTTATATAACGCATCTGTCCAATACATATTCCCTGCTACATGATCAAAAGCAATTCTACTGGATATAGTATAAGATATCCCGCCGTGAACTTCATACACCCATCCAAAGAGGGAATGGTTCATCCATATATTAAAATTCTCCAGTTTGAAAATAGCTTTAGATAAACCCTCCATGAAGTACAAGGTGTGGTTGCCATCCCACTCCATACTCATTATTTCAAAGTCGTAATATCTAAATGCCATTGTGTGTTCTGTGATTTTTTGGTTGGTGGAGAACTGGTTGATGTAACCTTCAAACGTGGTCATCCCTCCATAATGCCATAAAGTGTTTGGTAAATCGGACACAACTAAACCTGAAAAAAGAAAATATGGTAATAATTTGCAATAAAAATAATTTCTGTTAGCTAACAATACTACAATTGTGCGGTAGTTGGTATAGCCTGGACTGCTTTAAAAGAAATTAGATTTTCTGTTGAAAGTAAAATAATGTAATTATCAATTTCACAATTTAAGTGATATTGTATCTTTCTAAACATATTTCATAATGGACATATTTTACACAATATCAAAAATTTCTTTCAGATTAATGTATTTGACGTCTTATATTTAGTGTCAGTACATTTATATTTCCTGGAAAAAGAGAAAAACTCTACATCATATTCTTCGGATGTGTAGCTAATGGAAAGAGTTAAAACATTCCAATTGCAGCCATTCAGTTAAAAGATATACGGGTCAATGTACATCTATGGTGAAAATAAAGCTATTTTTCCTAATAAAACAATGTAAAATTACTCTTAAATTAGCAATGCAAATAAATGTTTATAGACAAGACCTTAAAAATCTGATATTTTTTATCTGTTTATATAGCTATATTTAAGTGCTAGAAAGAAGTTATGTTTTATGATGAAAGTTTTTCAAATATATGAAAAGTCCGGCTGCCAACAAGATTTCCAAATAAACCACGCCTTATCAAAATAAGTTTCCAAAATAAAGAAGAAAAATTTGATTGCTTAAAAACAAGATGAAGTTAAAAGACATCGATTTATACAAAGAAACTTTTCTTAGAAGCAGTAAATCTCGCATAGAACGGTTAATAGAAATAAATGCACGCACCAACTTGAGAAACTTGCCGCGGGAACAGGGAAGATTACTACGGGTCGATGTAAGTGGACGAATCATACCTCGACAAACCGTGCAGATTGACCAACAAGAGCATTTCTAGTCATTATCGATGCTGGACAAATATGGTTCGATACTGGAATAAAAGTGTCTTACGATGGACAAATGCTGTATCACCAAACTATCAGTTGATACGGACTTCGGTCTGTGACAATAGTGAAAAATGTTATTCCGATAGACATACTATATCATTCTCAGGAGCAAAATAAATAAGTTAACGATTTACACAATATTGTACATACATAATTATAGTCCGTGAGGGAAAATGTAAGATTTATATCCAGGTGATTTATAGGTCCAAAGGGCCGAGTGTAAAGTACTTGTCTTTTTTGTATTTAAGTATTTCATGATGTATTACACAAGTCACTATAATAAATAAATAATTATTATATGTATAGAATTCCAAAAATCGTGCATATTTCTTACGTTTATATTCAAATTAATAAAATATTATTCTTTTTGTGCCCATAACATTTAAAATAGCTACGAAAATATTTGTTTTAAAACAAAGAGGTTTCTCATGTTTTATGTAACCAAATAAAAGAATATGTCACATAACACAATTACAATAAATTTTAACTAAAATTTCTCAATGCCCTTTTCTCTAAGGGAAAAAGTCTTGCCTAAAATATTGAATGTTAAAAATATGTTAATTGTATTACGTCATTTCAAATTTCTCCTCTCACAAGTTGGGACGGTCTTTTACTGACATCCGACAACTGCACATTAAACACTGTTGCTGGTTTTAAACTCTGCATGGTACAACTTTTGACGACGCACAATAAGAACAGACAACTTAGCAATTTATTGGTTAGTCGTTTAAAACTTGCCGTATTGCAGGGTACATGTACTAATCAAGTTATTGTTGAATTAATAAAATTCTTGACTCTGGACTTTTCTCGTCAGTTTAATTGTAAATTGTTTATATATGAAAGTAAAGTCGATATATGTACACGTATAACTGTTAAAAAATTAAAGTATTTTAAATTCAGGAGTCTTCATAAATTGTCTCTTCACTTGAATGGACAACAAAAATTATAAATAGCAATAGAAATTGTTACTATTATCAATTCTATTTTGTGTGTGTGCGTGCGCAAATAAATCACATACAGTATGCATTTAAATTTATCTGTATTTGGCTAATTAACACAAAACACAATCATCTGACTGTTAAATTTGCCAAAAGCAATTTAATAAAACGGATGAAACAAGAAACAATGAGAAAACAACACCTTTTCATAATTTACCCTTTCTTTGTAGTGAATATCTGCAAAATATCGGATATAAATATATATTTCGCAACCCTAACAGAATGTTTGAATTCGCTGAGGATCCTGGTTTTATGTTCACTGAGTTTCTATTGTTCGTTAAGAGATTTGGTGAAGAATACTGACTTTAAAAAAAGATCGGTAAACACATTTTCCACTGAGAAGGGGTCGTTAAAAGTGTGTTTCGGGTGTATAAAATCTGTTATTTTTATACATAGACCCGCTCTACTTAACAAACATGTTTACCATGAACAAGTTTCCCAATATTGAATATGTATTCAGAAGATTACTTCTCTGTTTACTATTAAAATGACACCGTGTTCTTTATGCTCAATTTAAACTTCATATTTTGCAATTATATATCATTTATTGCAAAACATCTTTAATGCTTCGGCTGTAGAACTTCGATTCAAAAAAAAAAAGAATTAAAAAGCATGTTTAAAGTCATGAGTTATCCAAATGTTTGTTTCGACCTGTCTTTACAATGTCTAGGAAGAGTGACAATGTGTCTACAACATTTTGAAAATATATACTAGATCTAAATGTTGTAGAGCATTGAATGAACATACTAGTCCAATTCTCTACTGTAATTATATATATATATATTAGGGATGTCAAATCGGTCAATATTTGATAATCGGCTACTCGGACGATTTTCAAATCGAGTACCCGGGTACTCTGAAAAAGTGTGTATACATGTAAAAACTTATTAATCTTATCGAGACCTGTTTACCCAATCAATGTTTTCTTTCGTTTATAATGCATATATATAAACATCGAGGCCAACGAAAATGAATTTTTGGGCACTTAATTTATGTTTCAAACAATTCTCAACCAATCATCGCTTACAGCAAACACAAGAACATAGGCGACGAGATAATCAGGTCTCACTTAAAATAAACATCTTATTATGTGCCTGTGACCCCTGATGAGGCTACTTAATTGCCGAATCACTCTACAACTACTTGCATAATTCAAATTATTCTGATCTATGCAAAAAACTCATCTACTATAAGTGTGGTTTGGTGTGTCGGGTCCTAATAAATCTCTTACAAGTCTGGTTGATTGATGTCGCTAATTTTCACACACTAAACTTACTATGCACAGCAGACTTTTAACATTTTTTAAATCTTTTGTTATTTTAAAATATTTCTTCACTTTTGAATTGGTAATGGTATTTCTATGTATGTTCGATTTCGCTACCATATGATAATGAAATAATCTATATAAGGATAATTAATAGTTTAATTCATTAAACGATGATCATTGAAAACAAATAATTAAAGCCATCCAAAAATTAGGGTCACAAGAACAGCTGTGTACGGTATCCAGTGATTGGTCACGGTAATTACTGTATATACATGTACACAGCCACAGGCGATAACGGGTATTAACTGGTGTAGGTGACGCTAATTACTGTAAAGACATGGCCAATGCATAAGATTTAAATAACATTTTTTGATCAGTTTTTTTAATAAATATATGCATTTTGAAATATGAAAAAAAAATATACATCCGAGTAACCGAGTACCGATTTTAGTATTCGATACTCGGACGTTCGATCGAGTACCCGGTTATTCGTTGACATCCCTAATATATATGTTAAATATTTCATAATTGAATATAATATTATCACCGTGTGAAATGTATCCCAAGGACATAACATCTTCTCCCCTGTCATGCCGTTGAGTGACTTTTGTCTGAACATGCAATTAAAGTGATATTTTGTTTAATTAAGCCGTTAATTGATATCTATTTGTATTTTTCTCCCTTCCATTAATTCTATTGTTAAAATATTCCTTTGTGTCTTTATATCAATTGTCATGTTAGAATATTTGGCAGTTGGAGAGAGACAGTCAAGACGCTCGGACCACCGACTACCCGACTTTGCAGATTTTGTTAAGTTTTTGGAGTATTAATAAATTTTGTAAAACGGAAACCGATTTATGCAATTTCTCTCGGTCAAAATTGGTGGAGAATCCGGGTATCAATTCTTTCAACTGGAATGTCTTTTTCATTTCTTTTCATTTCAATTGGAATGTCTTAATCCTGCTTCAAAGAGAATGAGACACAATCAACTAAATAATAGACATTCAATGATAATAGATAGAGAATTTAACAGATAAACGTCCAAATTTAGTATATAATATATTAAAAAGTTATTTATTTCAAAAATGTTAATTTTGCTCGGTGATAATATAATAAAATTGAATATAATGAAATATAACATTTCAGTTATTTTATATATATATATATATATATATATATATATATATATATATATATATATATATATATATATATATATATATATATATATATATATATATATATTCTCACAAATATGAGAGATGGAGGGATAGCATATGTCAGATACGTAAATGTATATCGGGGGGGGGGGGTTAAATCTAATTTCTTTTTTTGTAATATTTGAGCTGAAAAAATTTATTTGATTCCCCTTTACTGCTTAGTAGGTCATAGTAATGATATTTGATCATATTCTTTTGCATTATTCGAATGTCTAATTATGCCCAGAGAAATAATATTTTTACGAATAATAAATCAAACGTGTTATTTGCGTCAGACTGCGCACAATCTTGATTTTCTGTGTCAGAAATGGTTATTGTGGTGTGATATTTTGATCGTACACGATGCATACTAAATACACAATCTTAAAAGAGAATATTAGGCCAGTATTTAAATAAGGCATCATAACGAACTAGATTTTTTACGGTTAAGTGGAAATTGTGTAACATGCAATAAAATGTGAAGAAAACAGCATTTAGTTATTTTGCTCTTTAAAATTTTAAAATATGTTTGACTTTAACCTTCCCCTACCTGTTATTTGAACGTTTTAAAAAAAATAGTATATTAGCAATTCTAAAAAATGTGTATTAAATGCTGAT